GAAAAATGAAATTTAAAAGTTCATAACAAAAAATTCGTTAAAATTCGTTTTGGATCAAATTATTTTCAAAAATCTATTTAGGAAAAACTAAACTCTTTTTAAAAATAATCTTACAGTTCTAAATTCAAATTCATATCTACTACTACTTTGATGTTTATATAAATTTTCGAAAACTGCAATAGGAGAGCCTTTACGTATTTCTACATGTAGATCCGTCAAATTTATGTAAAAACTAAAATGGATATAAATACGTAAGGTGAATCGAATATTCGGCCGAATATCCTATTGGCCGAATATCCTATTTTCTGCCGGATATTCTGATAATCGCATAACGGTTACAGATCTGAAAAGTGAAAATCTAAATAAAGTAGAGCGTAACACAAATACTACAAGATCTAGAATATATGTTATGCATCTACTTTTAGTCGTGCTATAGTCATAGTTAGATACATATGGAAAGCAAAATCACATTTCTAAAACATTTCATCATCGCCAAGATAAATCTTACCAAGGTTAGGACGCGGAGAGACACATTCGCAAAACTCTGGTTTTTGATGAACGGTTATGAAAAACGTTATCGTTAAAGGAAATATATAAAAGAGATTCAACGAATAAAGAGCACTGATTTTTTATCTTTTAAAAGTAAAACAGCCGTAGATTAGTTTGTGAATCAACGCTGGATATGTTGTTTTAGATTGTGATCCGTGGAAACTTGCAACTACCAATAAGAATGCAAGTTAGACTTTAATGACTTTCTCAATAAAACTCATCCTTATTTCATATTTCATAGCACAAGAACTATGATTAATAAATACATCTTCTTTAAGTCTCTAAATAACCTAAAATAAGAACTATGATTAATAAATATATATTCTTTAAGTCTCTAAATAACCTAAAATGAGAATTAAGAAAACAACTATTGTTAAAAGAAATTTGATATAAACTTTATGTTGATATACAGGGATTTCACAAATAAAGACCGTCGATTTGCTTCCACTTCTCACGATTTGAACAAACCATAGAGTAGATAACGAAACCAATGGTCGATAATTTTTTCTTTGATACAATGCACAATCTTTTAATGAGCTTAAAAAGTCCTTCCCCATTTCATAAACACAAGATAATTTCTACTTACTAAGAATTTAAAATCCATACACAAGAAATGTAAATTCAGCCGAAGCCTAGGCCTTTTCCAGCTAAAAAGGGCCCATTAGGAATTTAAGCCCATGTTGATGAAAAAATGTTATTCTATGTTAAAAAAACCATTAGTTCTAGAACAAATATATTACTGATATTACTCATTTTCAGATCATTTTTTTCATTGGGGTTAATGTTTCAGATCAGCTGTTTGATATTATAAAAAAAAAATGTTCGTGTTTGTTAGAAAAGCTTATCTATATAAATTATGCTCAGCAAGTCACATGGCATTTTCCTTACCAGTTGATTTCACCTCAAGAAAAACAAAAATGAAGATTTCTTTCTAGATTGGTATTAGAAATCTGAATTTAATTTTCTTTCATCTCTCATGAAATTCTATGCATTCATAAAGAAAATAGAAAAATCAGTAAAGGGAACTTATAAAGATAACCATAACGAATGCCTTTTTAATGATTTTTTGGCACTTGTGTGCTTTTTAGTTTTTGCTCATAAAGTAATTGGATTGCGTTTACGGAACGTGAAGACTTAAAATGTAATTTGCCAAGTGTGGCGAAAATATTTTTTGCTATCCGAACCAAAATTAAAGGACCATATATATTTGGGCCCTATATATGTTCACAGCAGTGTTTTGAAAGCTAGACCGGACCGGCTGGTTCGATCGGTCCAACCGGGATCGGTTACTTAGTCGGGTCCGAGTTGAGTCAAAATCCGGATTTGAGTT